CACACACATATATATATATATATATATATATACACACACACACACACACACACACACACACACTCTCTACACTCTACCCCAGCACTATATAAGAGGGGAGAAACCATTACAAACCTACACTAAGTTAACTGGGTCTTCCAGTGCATCTTCTTTTATGCATCTGTTTTTGGATGGAAAACTCCTTGCAGCAGGGATGGTCTTATTGTTTTGTCTTGCACAATACCCAGCACATCAAGGGTCAAATTTTCTAAAGCACTTAATTAACTTAGAAGCGTAAGTCCCACTGCTTTTCAATTGGACTGAAGCTTCTAACTCACTCAAGTGCTTTTGAAAATGTTGGCCTATTTTCTCTTAAAAATAATCTACAATAATAATTCTCATCTCAGTGTTTTCACTCTTGATTTACAATTACAAGGGGCCTAATCATCCTCTGAGACAGCAGCATTGGAACGATTTTTATAGTGGAGGTGCTGAAAGTCACTGAACAAAACTGTAAACCCTGTACATGATGGAAGCCACTTCAAGCTAGGTGGTGCTACCACACCCCCAGCACCGCTAGTTCCAACACGCCTACTCTGAGACCCATTGCCATTTTTTCTTCCCCCTCCTCCTCTCTACAGAGTCAGAGATCCTCAAGTGGAGAGAGGCTGGGCATGTATTGCCTTCTCCAAGACTCATGGGAATCTGTAAAACAGTTAATGTAGCTTGAAGCTGAAAGAATTTTTTCACTGTCTCTCTCTAGACCTTGAAATCGCCATTCATGGGCGGGGGGAAGGGGCTATCAGTAGCTGCTGATGGAAGACAGCTCCAATAAAGCTGTGCTACCTAGAATCCTAAAGGGATCATGGGGCTACAGAGCCAGGCTGAAGGCTCAGTGCCTATGCACAGATGTACCCAGCCTCACAGACCTCATGATATGTGTGTGGAACCCTCTGTTCATTACACAGGAGGGCAAACCCCAGCCTCTGGAATAATTTAGGGAAACCTCTGTGGACCAGATCCTCAACTGGTGTAAATCAGTGTTGCTTCATGAAAGTAAATGAAACAATGGTGATATACATCGGCCAAGGATCTGGCCTATTATGTGGAATGTCATGGGTAATTTTATGCTCCATGGCCCAATTCATGTGTTTTTCTGTGGGATAAGGTGATCAGGTTTGCAGCACAGAAAAAGAAGAGTTCACTAACTAACTCCTTTTCTCAAGGGGGAAAGGTTCTCCTGGCTAGATTAGCACTTAACATTTTTTACTTCTACTAGGAAAAACTGGACTTGAGTTTAACAAGAATAAATATACTAGGAAGCTAAGTATCAGAGGGGTAGCCGTGTTAGTCTGAATCTGTAAAAAGCAACAGAGGGTCCTGTGGCACCTTTAAGACTAACAGAAGTATTGGAGCATAAGCTTTTGTGGGTGAATGCCCACTTCATCAGACGCAAGTAATGGAAATTTCCAGAGGCAGGTATAAATCACTATGGAGATAACGAGGTTAGTTCAATCAGGGAGGGTGAGGTGCTCTGCTAGCAGGTGAGGTGTGAACACCAAGGGAGGAGAAGCTAAGTGCTACTATAGATTAATGCACTAGCCTTTCATCTGCAGAGACCTAAAATCTATTGATAAAAAACAAATTTGAATGGTCAGCCAACTCCTTAGTAAATTTTGGTTCCCCATTACAATACCACTTAGAATTTGGCATGATTAACTGTTGCTGCTCATAAAAAGACCTAGGACTGGAACAGTAAGGCATGAGTACTGCAGGTCAGACTAGAAGTGCATTAGCAGAATGAGTTTGGAGTAATCAGAATGCCTGACCACAGCCAATAAAACCAGTTCTTCATTTTTACTAGTCTAACAGTTCTCCTCAAATTAATTAAAAAAAAATCCAGTATTCTTGTCAGAAATCTCCAGCAATATACCACTGACAAGAACATGGAATCTCCATCTTGAAGGAAAACTCTTGATATCTTTCACTAACTACAAAAAAGACCTATGATTTTGAATTCACTGCTCTCATCCTCCTCCCGCTTGCACCCTCATGAGATAGGAGTAGTCAGTGACATTGCACTGGTGTGAAACTGATGCAGATGAGAGCAGAATCAGGCCCACATGCACCCTCCCTCCCCCCACACATTTACCCTGTCCATTCCTGGTTTCATTTATTTCAGTGGAGTGACAGATGTGGTGCATAGAGCTGAAGCACAAGCAGCAGTATAATTCCTACAAGCTATCCTGTAAATATGTACATACATCTTCTCTAGATGACAAGTTACAATTACAAATGTGTGGCTAATAAAGCAAACAAAAGTTCCATGCCATTCCGGTGCAACACCTGGCACAGAATATTCATTATTAATTACATTTATTAATAAGTTTTCAAGGAGCATTCAGCACAAATACAGGCTGTAGAACCTAAGTTATGCAACTGTTTTTGCAATGTTTGGCCATGAACTGTACATATTGTGCCAAAAAATGTAGACAGGCCTTTACAGAGTAAAACATTCCTTGCCTTAAAGGACTTACAGTCTAAAGCAGTGGTTCTCAACCTTTCCAGACTACTGTACCCCTTTCAGGAGTCTGATTCCTCTTGCATACCCCAAGTTTCACCTCACATAAAAATACAAGTACAGCACCCTGTTACTGAAAAAATTGCTTCCTTTCTCATTTTTAACATATAATTATAAAATAAATCGATTCCAATATTTATATTTCACTTACATTTCAGCATATAGTATATAGAGCAGTATAAACAAGTCATTGTATGACATTTTAGTTTGTACTGACTTCATTAGTGCTTTGTATGTAGCCGGTTGTAAAAGTAGGCAGCTATCTAGATGAGTTGATGTACCACCCCCTCTCCCCACTTCGGCATACCTGGGTTGAGAACCACTTGCTCTTTCTAACCTAGACCAAAAGGCACCGGCCCCCGCAGTTGGTATCAATGAGCGTAGCAGCAGCTCCCAAGGAAATATTAGTTCACACTGACGTGGCTGATAATTCTGTGCCAGCCGCTTCCCCAGAAAGGCATGTGATTGGTGTGTGTTGTTCACTTCATTAGATCTATTACTCCCCGGGCCCACACCAGCCCCTGAATACTCACTAAGGCTTCTCGGAGCACAATGAGGACTCTGAAGTGCCCTGGCCCTGGCCCGGTAGCACCAGGCTTGCACACGGACAAATCAGTCCCGCTTTACCTTTGCGGCCATTTGGCTGAGCGCAGCACCCCAATGGCTTTGGGGCCTCCCCGCGGGGTCCCTCCAGTCCGGATTTCCTTTCACCGACGACCTTTGCTCGTCCCGCGCCGCGCCGGGCCAGCCGGAGTCCCCAGGGGGCAGCCAGCGCTCGCAGTGGCGAATACCCGGACCGAGCCCCAGCGCGCCTCTCCTCCGCTCGCTCGGTCCTCCCCCGCCGCCAGCCGGGGCCCAGGGGCGGGCGGCAGAAGTTGCTGCTGCTGCCTCTCGGCTCGGCAGCTTTGGACACGATCCGTCACGAGCCCGCCAGCTCCGAGCCGCGGCGCGCCCAGCGGGGCCGAGCCTGTGCGAAAGTTTGGGGCGCCGAGTCCCGCCTCGCAAACGGTGTGTAGCTGGCGGGCGAGGCCGCCCCGCGGGGAAAAGCCCGTTCGCTTCGCAGCCCCGAGGTGCTCCCCACGGCTGGGGCAGCCCGGGGGGAACCGGGCGCGCAAAGTTACAGCGGAGCCGGAGCAGCCGAGGGACGGTGACCCCGCCTCCCGCGCGGGACCAGCCTTCCCGGCAGCGAGCGGCTCTGAGCCTGGCTGGGGGGTGGGAAGTTCCCGGGCCAGAGCGGAGGAGCCCAGGCTGCGGCCGCAGCAGATGTTAGCAGCAGGCGGAAGACAGCGGGGCTGCTGCTGCGGCTTGGGGGAGGCGCGCCGGGCTCTCCCGCGCTGGCTGCGGGGCGGACTGAGGTGACGGGAAAGGAGGGGCGCCTCCGCCTTCCTCAGCTTGTCCGGCCAGCAATCCAGCTGTGCCCGGACAGGCCGCGCCCCTCCCCGAGAACTCTCCCCTGCCCCGAGCCGCGCCGCTGGGGCTTGGCTCCCTGGCGGCGGGGGTCGCTTTGGCAGCGAACGCTTTGCACATCGTCTGGGGGTAACTGTGCCTCGACGCTGGTCACCTTTTGGTCTCAGCCGTGGTGAGCCAGAAAGGGGAATCCCCTGCACCCATCACCCCACCCCCGAGCCCTGGAGGAGAGGACCTCCCCTCCCCGATTACTTTGGCAATCAGGGAAGTGAGGAAGGTGGGAGGAAGTTCAGTGCTAAACTATTGCCTTTTAAACCGGGTTACTCATTCACAGCCTCGAGTCTCTATCCCAGTTGCCAGAGCACAAAACCCTGCAGCGGTGAAGCTATATACAGCTCAAGTAACGCCTCTCTCTTCATGTTTGTGACCTAGATCTAGGAGTAGATCTGCTTAGAAATGTTATAGCGGGCTTGTAGAGAGGGTGCGTCCCAGCAGGGAACCACACTGCCTCCCTTAGG